AAGTAAAAGGGTGTCTTATAATTTCTGAGGTTCTTTTAATTCTTTCTTCTGTGATGCCTCTATCTACTTCGCGCATTAGCAAACCTTCCCCTTGTGTTGATGGTCAGGCTCTTGCTACAAAGATAGCCCTCTGGGGTTGTTGGATTAACATGCCTTGTTCGGTATACAAGCGTGACAAGAAGCTGTATTTCTTTTTGTTACATTCCTTAAAGTGTTTGTATTATATAGCAAAGGGTGTTTCTTATAACAGAAACTATTTAGAAGATACGTTCTAGAAGTTAGAGTCAGAGCGGACTTGTCTAAAGGCTACTTATTCTCACGCTATTACAGAGGTGTTACGCTTTATTACTAAAGTAACGAGTTTAGATTAGTATATTAAGTCTTTAAAAAAGGCTCAAGGTTAAATGATTAAGCAGGAAGCTCTTTCCTTAGAACAGGAAGAGCTTTATCAAGGGTTGTAATCTAATGCTGTCAGGGTTAACGCCCTTAATAAGCAGGAGTTGGCTACCCTGATGTCTTTTTCGCCTGGTCCGGGTTCTGGCGGTAGTAATTCGTAAGTATCTTAGGGTTAAGATTTGTTTTTGGTTCCTATATATTTTTTAAGTCTGTATATCCTGACTATTTAATCAGGTAATAGGGTTTACTATTAATGTCTTATCTGTCTAAGACTTTTTCTACCTTGTACTCTTAGTCCTGAGTTTTATTGTCTAGTTAGATTTCTGTAGGTCTTGCGTTCTTTAGTATTAGTTCTAACAATAAGATATAGAATACTAGGTGTATCCTTATTTTTGTAAGTAGTTATAGTTTATATATTACTTTTCCTAAGACTTTCTTAATCAGATATAGTCTTAACTTTATATAGTCTAATTTTAAACTTAATTATTTAGTTTTAATGTTTTTTCTTAAAAAGTAAATTACGTTCTCTTCTTTAAAGGTTAGTCTTCTAATCCTTTTAGAGTTATAATATATTACAGAATATATTATAATAAATTTAATATCTTTTAATAATTCTTAATATAATTCTTTTATTATTTCTATTATTATAAATG